TTTCGCCAGCACCTGTGACCGGCATCTTCAGAGTGCAGGAGCACAGACAGGAGCAGTTCTCTCTGGGCACATCTTGTCCATGACAAGGGACTGATGACAACATACTATAATTCTAGATCAGTCACCAGTGCCTCGAGACACATTACACATTAGCTCTGGAACAGTTCAGCTGGAAATCAAACCAATCAAATATACAATAATTTTGACAAACATGCTGTCTAGTAATTGCAGAGAAGATATTTGCAGTGCACACAAAAATAAATAATGTTTTTATCTTATATTTTAGGATCACTATGATTTTGGTATGAGAGCTATCAAAACTGTGTTAATAAGAGTTGGTCAAAAGCGTCAGGAGTTGAAAATACAGTAAGTTTTCTTTTTTAAAAAGTGGTTTATATTAATACATAGATATAACATTATTATGTCTTGATTTGTGATGTTCTAAAGATTTTATCTAAAGATAAGTTTGAGGAGAGGAAATAGCTGCTGTCAATAGAGACATGCATTAGAATCCTATTTGTATTTGTTTTAAAGAAAACTATGTTCTGTAGGTTTATTTATGCATGCTTATTTAGAATGTAGTCTTTTGAACTCAGAAGGACTTCATGACTCATAGAATTGCCACCTAAATCACCAAGATTCTAAATATTTCTATAGGAATATCTGCATACATTACCAGCAAAAATGGATGACTGTGCATTAAATTAAGTTTCTTGACCAGTTGTTTTTGTTGCTGAAAACTACAGCATTCAGACTACAGTTCTTTCATACCGTAGAATAGTGTTTAATTTGTAAGGCCTACAAAATATTTAGTGATGGACAGACGGAAGGAAGGAGCTTTGATTGATGGTAGTTGATTAGCCATTGTGCAGTTAAATATCATATGGGGCAAAAATTGAGTGATATATGGATTTATAAAATAATTCTTTGTTAGCCATTTTTAGTTCAGAGTAGACATATTGATATACCTATTAGTGGGAATCCTCTGCATACATTTTTGGGTAAATTTATTTTCTCTGTGTCCTTGTTGCCATGCTTATTTAGAAACCACACAAATTAGCTTTCTCACTGTGGGATCAAAAATGTTATTTATTTATTTATAATTTATGTTGCTTTGAACATGAAGAAAATTCAATGATAGATTGCTGAATATCTCTGGTATCTGAGCATATTTATTTATTTGAGAAATTTATAAAGCTGCCCAACTTGCAACAATAGTTTTGAGCAGCTAATAAATTAAAACTTACTAGAAACAGACCAATAAGAATAGCAAAAAAAGCAAAAATAAAAATGCACACATTTAGCAATATATGATCAAAACCATGTATTTAAGAATATCTCTTTTAAAAGTGCAGCATGATGGATTAATTAAAACATTATAAAACTTAGAATAACTCATGAAATTCTAATTATTAGTTTTCTTTTATAATTGATATAGTTATAAAAAGAAAAGGTTTTCTGCAACGGAAGAAACACTAATCACAATTGGCATACTGAAGGAAGTTAATTTACCAAAGTTAATTGCTGAGGATGTTCCAATATTTGAAGATATTATCACAGATCTCTTTACAGGAATGGAAGTTCCAAAAGTAAATCCTAAACGATTAGAGGTAATAAAAATAAGCATAGTTATTCTTGGCACAAATATTATCCATAGAAAAATATTTTTGACATTTAGGATTTTTTAATGTTATTATCCATTAGGCCTGAGTATTTCAATGATTTTGTAAAGGAATTTAAAGTTGATCTTGGGAAATGTATGAGTGAGCCGTTAATGAGGGACTTGGACAAGAGATGACAAGGCAGAGATAGGATGAAGTGTGGGAAAGAAACTCAAAATAGCCCTGCCTTGATTTTTTTTTTAGTATAAGATGGGACAGAGAGAAACTTAGACAGACTTGAAGGATCCTGTTAATATACCCTACAACAATAAAGTAGCATTCCTGGAATCACAGTGATGTTGGTCTCTTGACCTGGCCTACCTTGAAAAACTGACAGATATTCAGGGAAGATGGGCATATTCAGGTCTACTGAATGTAGAGACAGTGAAACTGATTGTGTCCCTTTAACTTATTTCTTTCCTAATGTTGCCAGAGACAATAGCTATATTTTTTTCTTAATAATTTTAGTTATTTTATGTATTGTCAAATTATTGATGGTTCATCAAACTTCTAACCATCTATCTTTTTAAAACCTTTAGAGTGCAATATCTCTTGCAATACAGCATTTATCTTTGCAGCCTTGGGAAAATCAAATAGAGAAGGTTATACAACTATACAACCAAATTATGGTGAGTGCAATGAGATACTAATCAGGTAAAATGTGCAATGGAGGATAAATATGATACAAATATATTTATACAAATACTCCTCAAAATTTTGCAGTGAGATCTTACATTACAGGAATTACATTTCAGTAAATGGCAGAAATATTGACGTTGCAGCAACTGAAATGTAAAAAAAAAAAACAGTAAATGCTCATAAATATATACTTTGTAAGTCCTTTAGTGTGTATTTATTAAAATTTAAGTATTAATCATTTAAGGAATATGAACATTCCAGATTTGGTCTTTTAAAATATATTTTCAGGCTCGTGTTGGTGTGATGCTTGTTGGCCCCACAGGTGGAGGAAAGACTACCATTAGAACAATTTTAGAAAAAGCCTTGATAATCCTTCCATTAGTTGATATGGAAAGCAGTACAAAACTTGATATTTTTCAGGTAAGGATTTTTTTTTTTAATTACTCATATGGTATGCATTAATACTTTATCTCTTTTCCTGTAACCTCCCAGAGCAGCAATCTATATGAATTTTGAAATTTTAAATATTTACTCATTATTAAACAGTTAACTCAGTAGTTGGGAGTACTCAGTCAACTTTCACTAATCCCAGAAAGCCAAGCAGGCATTGGTTTGGTTAATACTTGAATGGGAGCCTGCCAAGAAATTCCAGGACAATATGTTGGATCAGAAAATAGAGAAATCACTCAGGAAGAAGGCAATGGCAAAACATGTCCATATTGTTTTCAGAAGACTACTTATATGTGTTCATCAAACCACCAGAGATCATACCTGATTTGAAGGAGACTTTACTACAGGTAGTCCCCAGTTTAAGAACGAGTTCCGTTGCCAAGGTCTGTCCTTAAGCCGAATTTGTATTAAGCTAGAAAAGTATTATTGTATAATACTGTATAAGTAATATTGTGTAATTAAATTTTGCTACAAAAGCCTCTGTTCTTAACTATGGGTCATCTTTAACCTGGGTGTTCTTAACCTGGGGACTACCTGTACTGTATTACAGGTGGTTCTCACTTAATGTCCACTTGTTCAGCGACCATTCAAAGTTACGATGGCACTGAATGACAGGGACTTACGACAAGTTCTTATCATCGCAGTGTCCCTACAATCATGTGATCACAATTTGGGCGCTCTGCAACTGACTCTCAATTACAATGTTGCAGCTTCCCCTGATCATGTGATCGCCATTTGCAACTTTCACTGCTGAATTTTGACAAGCAAAGTCAATGGGGAAGCTGGCAGGAGGTCGCAAATGCCTAACGACAGCAACCAGGGCTGCCGGAACTGCTGTTGTAAGTCAACATGGTCACATGATGTTGTGCCTTACAGCTGCATCACTTAGCTTAGTGATGAGTTCCTGGTCCCAATTACTGCCAGTAAGCGAGGACTATCTGTATTTAGTAATGAACAGTAATTAAAGGACATGAGGCACAAATAACCAGGCTCAAATTATCATATTTTGCACACATTATATGAAGACCTAACTATCTTGAGAAGTTCATAATACTGGGCAAGGTGAAAGGAAAGAAAAGAAGGGGATGGCCAGTAACAAGGTGGAAAGACTCAATTACAACAGCAGTGGTGCACTGTTAGGAGACCTGAACGTTGGGGACAGATCTTCCAGGAAAAGGTCTATGTACTGTATGTGGTTTCTAAAAGTCAACACGGAATTGGTGGTACATAATCAATCAAATGAAAAGTAGCTGTAGAATTACTCAAAATATTTCTAAAAGTTTGGAGAATTTCCTGAGTCATACAGTATTTGGTATACCTCTACCTTTAATGCTTAGAATCCAGGCAGTAACAGAATACACAAAATAGGCATAATTTTATTAGTCCCTTTTCCATGGAAGTTTGTATTAGCAGGAAATAAATGTAATAACTGCACATTCAGAAGGATTTTTTTCTTCCGCAGAATATCTCAAAGAGAAGCAAAGTAGATACTTTTGTTATAAACCCAAAGTGTATTACTGTTGGTGAACTCTTTGGACAGACAAATCCTAGTACAATGGAATGGTCAGATGGACTATTATCATCAGCAGTTCGAGGGTTTGCCAAACTTGGAACTAAAAAAACTAAAAAAAAAGATCCAAGCATTGGTATAAATTCAGATGGGCCGGACCTATATACAGTGAGTACACAGTAATGTATTTAGATATTGAGATAATTATATTTTGAAATGGAGTTTCTTCCCCAAAAGATGGAAACGATTTATTGAAAAAAAATTTAAAGGTTGATGAAATGATGTATTTTCCTAGCTGGGTTGAGATCTATCAGTGCTTGGCTTTTAAAATCCTCAGTTTAAATGGTTACCCATTAATATTTTAAATGTATGATTCTCCGGGTTTTAAGTTTCAACGTTCTAAGTTAAGAATAAGAAGTAGATTTCAGCCATTCAACTGGAAGTTAGGGAATCTGATAGGCATATAACCTCACAAAATTTCTGTAGAGAACAGAGGGCATAACCATAGCATATCATTTTCACCCCAACCCCATCTATTACAAAGCAACTTGAAATGGATTTGTAACTTTTCACTTCTGAAGACCTCAGAATGCTGAGAACAAGCATGGAACATTATAAATAAACTGGTTTCACCTACCAGCTGATCAATATGAGTGCAACAACAACAACAAAAAGTTCACTTAATGCTCTGATCCAGGAATTAATGCAAATCCAGGAACTACAATTCTAACCTTCCATCGCCACTTCTCACTAACGGAAAATAAAATAATTGCTGGTGTCCTCCCCATCTATTTTTTTTTTTGAACATGTGTGTATTTGGTCACTTACAAAATCCTGTTGAGTAGTTCCTATGAGGGCAGGGTTCCTAGCTGCAAAGAAACAATTCCTCTGTTACACTTTAAAGTCTCATGCAAGCTCTGATGCCAAAACGTTAACATGTCACCCTTTTGCAGTCACCATTTTCTCAATAGCTGTAATCATGGCTGCATGTTGCCACAGCAATTGGATAGACAGAGGTACACTGTAATAGCTTTTATGCTGAGAACCTATCAGGAACTACAGTATGTGATGATCTGATATTTTAAATGGTGTCTGTGCTTCCATTTTACAAATTAATGTTTTGTGCCCATTAAATATTACATGTGTTCCTTTGCTTGTTTGAAAAAATATATTAGTGAACTTTGAATCACAACTGCAAGTACATCTATTCTAGTTATGTTAACTATATAATGCAGCTTTACTGTCTGAGCAGACCTTGCATTTTTAATAAAACTTTGTTCAGATATTTTGGCAAAATTCATTGTACCAATATTGGTCTCTTACATAGTGCTAATTTCTTCAAAGGTGATTTCCCTATTGAGGACCAATTTAGCATTTTTTGTATCTTTCCATTTTCCTCCCAGCAAAAAAGAGTTAAATATAATTGAATTTTTGAGGCTAGTGGGAATAAAAAGTGCCAATCCTTCTTTTGCTGTTTACCAACTGTCTTTAGTGAGGAATCTTTCTGTTGCTCCTCTCCTATGTTTATATCCCTGGGCAGAGTTTACTTCTCTATTGGGTGTCCTCTGCTTTTATCAGCGTTACACGAACAGTTTTCTTTCTTTGGACATCCCTGATCCCCTATTTGTTCTGAATGTGTCGGAAGCGTATTCCAACCTACTTCCTTTTCTAGCTTCCCTTCTTGTTTTGCCTGTTTAGCCTTAGCTCTTGTGGTGACTCCAGTTACTTCTGAGGACTTCTGTTTTCTATTAACTTCCAGTAGAAAGGAAGATCAGTCAGGCATCAGGGAAAATATCTTTATTTTCTACTGGTACTTGGGTTTTAGGGTCTGTCTTTGTCCCTACCAATTACTCCTTTTTCTCCATTTCCAGCCTCCTTATTATGTGAGCAATAGTTTCTGGATATGTGTCTAGAGACAGAATTGGGCAGTCTCTTGTACAGCTCTATGGCCAAACTCCTTTTTCCTGGGTGCAGGTTCTGTTTTCCTTTTCATTCAAGGCTCTTATATGATTTGCTCAGATATTGTACCATCCCACCACTGACACTAAATATGAGCGGGTTCTTTTGGGAAATGGGACAGACCAGCAACAGATAAAATGTTTTTATCTTCCTTATACTTCCCCAGGGAGTTTTATTACAAAAAAATAACAAATTTACTAAGATAGCCTATGCTATCTTAAACTATACCTATACTGACATCTGTGCCTATATCTTATTCCTACCCAGTCTATTCTTTGTTGCTTGAGCATACACCAAAGTCTTTAGCCACCATTTAGCCACCTTCAAATTGGCTTCTGTTGCTGCCAGCTGCTGTTCTAAACTGCTGTTGAAGTTTTGGATTGGCAGTTTCTCAGTCTTTGCTGGGATGAGAAAAGGAAGATGCTTTACCAGCTGCTGACTGGCTGTAGCTTCTCAGCATGGCTGCTGTGGAGTGGTGAAGCTGCTAGGCTCTGCTTCTCCTTTCAGTTTGTCTGCTGCTGGTTTGGTGAAATCCAAGCCTGTTCCTCCTTTAGCATCAGTTGTCTGTAATGCTGACAACTGCTGTACTCCCTAGTCTACATATTCTTCCTTTCTGCTCTCCCATACATGCTGGTGCTTTTGGCATTTTCCTTTTATAATCAGAAGCCAGGTGTGGTGTAATGCTCTTCAAGCTTCTTAAGGTTCCAGGGGAGAAAACAAAGGGAAGAAAGACCTCATGCTGGCCATTGTAAGACTTTCCTTCACATTTCATTTACACTTTCCTTCCAGTGAAAGGACCTAAAATCACGCTGCTTTTGCTGCTAATTGAACCAAAACCATGGCAGTTTCCCCCACCTTTGCTGGGATGAAGAAGGAAGCCTTACTTCCTTTCCTTCCAGTGAATTAATCTGTAAAGAGAAAGTGTATACAGGTAGTCCTTTCTTAACGACCATTCATTCAACAACTATTCAAAGTTATGACAGTGCTGAATGAAAGGACTTATGAACCGTACCCAAAGTTATGGCAGTCTGGGCCCTTGGCAATTGGTTCACCCTTATGACCAGTTGCCACGTGCCCCACAATCATGTGATCGCCATTTGTAATCTTCCCTGCCAGCTTCCCCAGAAAGTCAGTCAGGAAGCCAACGGGAAAAGTCACAAGCTGCCGTCGTCTGCCAAGAGGACTGCCTCTCATCTCTGAGGGCTGGCTGAAAAAGCTCTATGCTGAAATTCAAGCAGGATTTTGGCATGGGGCATTTTCAGCCACCCCCCAAAGCTGCGTACGCTAAACACCCCTGCATGGAGCATTTAGCACACACAGCTTTGGGGGCTGCCTGAAAAAGCTTTGTGCTGAAATCTAAGCAGGATTTTCAGCCATGGAGGATTTTCAGCCCCAGAGTGGAGAGGCTGAAATCCAAGCAGGATTTTCAGCCATGGAGGATTTTCAGCCCCAGAGTGGAGAGGCTGAAATCCAAGCAGGATTTTCAGCCATGGAGGATTTTCAGCCCCAGAGTGGAGAGGCTGAAATCCAAGCAGGATTTTCAGCCATGGAGGATTTTCAGCCCCAGAGTGGAGAGGCTGAAATCCAAGCAGGATTTTCAGCCATGGAGGATTTTCAGCCCCAGAGTGGAGAGGCTGAAATCCAAGCAGGATTTTCAGCCATGGAGGATTTTCAACCCTAGAGTGGAAAGGCTTCAGAAGCCTCTCCACTCTGGGGCTGAAATTCCAAGCGGTTCTGAGGAAGTTGCCTCACCTAATAACCAGGGCACTCACTTAACCACAGCAACCAGGACTGCCAGGATTGCAGTTGCTGAGCAATGTGGTCACATGATATTTCACCTAACAACCACATTGCTTAGCAACAGAAGTTCTGGTCCCAATTGTGGTCATTAGGTGAGGACTACCTGTATGTATATGTGTTATCACAGGAGTGTATGTGCAGAGAATGAAAGATTTCTCATGTATGAAATAGCTCAAGAAGGGAAATCTCATATAATTTAAAATAGATGTATGCAGGGCTGGCTTTAGGCTAAGGCTGAGTAGGCATTGGCATAGGGTGCCAAAGCTTAGGGGGCACCAGCACCACCCCTCCTTCCAAATAATACTAAAAATGCAAATTTTCACATTGGCAGGAGGTGGTGCCATTAGTCAATGTGGCCTCAGGGTACCATATTACCTTGAGCTGGCACTGGATGTCTGCAGATGCTGTGCATGTCATTCTGACTGAGTGAGGTCTGCAGGACCTAAATATAGCCTTTTAGGTTTAGGAATTTTTGATTCAGGTTGGAAACCCAATTAACTTTTTAATTTCACAGATAAAATTAAAGCATGTTTTAGTTTAACACCCTATAAACCAGATATTAGATGCTTAGGCTGCTTATGTTTTACTTCTTTTTTCTTTATGTTAGCTATATACTCCACTTTTCTTTATAGAATAAACTGGAAAACACCTTTACAAATAATAAAATATAATAAAACCTAAAGTATGAAACAATTCAGTGTAAAAATAAGGGTCAAATGTTTTAACTTCATTAAAAATGCAGTGAAATCTCTAAGTCTTAGAATTTTTTTCAGTCTTAAAAGAGAGACAGTCTAATAAAATTTTGCTAGGAATGGAATTCACAATGTGATTTTATTATGTTTTAATGTTATTTACCTAACATTCAAGAGACTTCAGGTTGAGATTGCTTGTGATTGGGAGTTTCCCAAAATACCTTACAAAATTAATTTAGTATATGGCTTTGTAACAGACTTTCTTTCCACCTGATTATTTTAAGAAAATCCAAGCTCTTATCTATTGTAAGTTATAATTATGTTTATCTAATTTTATAATTACTCTCATTTCTGTTTTTTAGCTGAATACAGTGAATGTAGCTGATGCAGTTGTGACTGATGAAACTGTACAATCAGCAGAGAATATTCAACGTTAGTATAATCTTGTAATAACAAATATGACAAATCATTACTGTATGTATCTCTTAGTTATGGATTCAACTTAGGCAACATTTTGATATTTAAGTAATTATGTGCCAGTTTTTTGAAATTCGTTTCAGCATCATACCTAGGAACAAGAGGCAGCAATAGAAATCATGTGATAGTCTTTTGCTCCTCCCACTTCCTGATGAACCCCCACCCATGGGTTTCTTTCCATATGCATCTGGATATTAACATTCCATTGAATAAATATTAGTTTGTTCTCCTCCGTTCTCCTCCATTATGGAAAGAAGGAGTCAGATAAGAACCTGAACTGCACATATCAGAGTTGGAGTTGAGAAAGAAAAGTGAACTTAAAGAGGTAGAAAATGATGGAAATCTTGAGGATATCAGCCTAAGTCATAGGAGGTTTGTTACATAGAGGCATGCGGAATTAAATCTTTCAGACAAAGAAAGGAGATAATAGTGGATAATCCCTTCATAATCTTTACATCTATTGCCTCTACTGGTCAATAGGTTTATAGGTACTGAAGGCCAGTGCATGGACACTGAATTCCAGCAAAAAGGCATCTGCTGTAAAGTGTAGCTATCCTACTGGTTCTGTTTCAGGAGACTCTGCTAGTTCTGTTGTCTGAAGAATGGGGGGGGGATTTTTTTTTTATTTTTTTGATTTTTTGTTATTTGGGGACAAAATATTCCAAGTTTGTTTGAAAGTCTTATGTTTATATATGTTTGTGCACGGATGCTCGAAGGTTTACATTTGTCCTTAAATTCTACTAGGATATCTGTCTAGTTTCATCTTCAAACAGAAAGAGCTGGAAAAAAGAATTAAGGCTAGATTCAGTAAGGAACCAGTATTTACAGTCCAGTGTTTGCGCCATATATTGAGTCTAGCAATATTTGAAAGAACTATTTCTCTGGAAGAAAATTGGACACTTACTAATGTGGCCTCAGCAATGAAACATTGGGAATTTTCCTGAAAAGCCTTGCATACCTTTATCGGATTTGAATTAGAGTCTAGTAAAAATTCTTTTGATTATGGCTCTGTTGATAATACAAGCCCATATATTTAAATTGTTGGCTTCAAGCAATTTGTGTAAAAGTATGAGTAAAAGGAGTTTTAAGATCATGTACTGCAGTTTGGGACAAAATATAATACTTTTGTGCAATTTTATGCATCTTTTTTGCTTGTTAAGGCAGTGGGATATAAGATTTGATTTTATTGCATTGTTAAAGGTACCAAGTAGGATGGCTTAGTTTATGTAAAACTTGCAGGTTCAAGGAGAAGCTGCTGGACATCTCCTGAAAAAGGTCCAGAGAAATGAACCGAGGAATGGTGCTTCTTAGATTTTAGTTTAAGATCTTTTCTTTTTTTAAATTTCTCTTGTTATAAACTAGGCCATCAATGGAAAAATCTCTTAAAAAAAAAAAGTTTCCCCTATTCAGTTAGAGAAATTCAGTTGCTTATGTAAGTTTTTAATTAGAATAAACTGGTCTTCTATAAGAAATTTTTAAAAAGTCTGGTACCAAAAATCCCAGAATTGTACAAAGGTAAATTGGAGAGATAAAAAGACATCTTAACTTTTGCTTTGACATTGACTTTTAGGAATCAGGAGGAATCTGGTAGCACTTTTTCTAACTAACAAGTTTTAGACTAACATGGCTCTCTTCCTAAAATAACTTTTAGGAAGTACTTTATTGACATGGCTTCCTAAGCAGGAGATAAACTGTCTCAAACTTTTCTGGCCCTTGAGCTTGGATAAAGAGATGATGACAGAAAAATGACAACTCCTAATAGTAAAACTAATTTCTTCTGACAGTTCCAGGACACAATGACCCCATAGTAGATTTTTCCATTGTTGCTAATTAATATATTGTAATGTATAATTTAAAAAGAAATAGAACATTATAATTATAAAATAACTATTTTAGATTTTCACATGCATGTAAACTGGCAAATTTAAAGTTAAAGCTTTTTTTAGTTCTTTTAGGTGAAAATATTCTTGACTGGCAGTGGATTATCCTGGATGGCCCAGTAGATCCAGTCTGGATAGAAAACTTAAATTCTGTTCTAGATGACAGCAGAACATTATGCCTTGCTAACAGTGAAAGAATTTATCTATCACCAGGCATCAGAATGATATTTGAAGTGGACAGTGTCTCTCAAGCCAGCCCAGCCACAATTAGTAGATGTGCCATGGTTTACGTGGTAAGTTTCATTAAGAAAAGTAATTGTACACTTTCACATAATATTCTATATTTTTCATTTACAGTACCATCTTTAAACAAGTAAACAAATCTTTAATTATATTTGCAAAGGGAAGGGTGGTTTAATGCCCACTTAATGAATTTCGGATGTAAAATGTGTGCACATAACTAGATAAATATATCCCATAATAAGTATTTCATAATTTCAGTTTCAGTATGATTTTTTTATTGTTCTACCTGTGTAAGAAGCTAGAAATTAATGAGTTCACACCCCACCAAGATCCCAAGAAGAATGAAGCCTTTACAGGTAGTCCTTGCTTAACAACCATTCATTAATGATGGTTTGAAGTTACGATGGCCTTGGAAATGGTGCTTTATGGCCCGTAAAGCACTTCTGACTATTGTAAAACATCACACTGCCCCCCGCCCCACAATCACATGGCCCCATTTTGGGCACTTGGCAACCAGCTCGCATTTACAACTGGTTAGCAAGTGCCCCGGGGGACGCGGTGGTGCAGCGGCTTAATGACGCTGAAAGTTGCCGGCCCGAAATGGTCGACGCTT